ATCTATCCTTGTGCGTTGCATGACCTCCACAAGGTCATACATCCTTGTGCGTTGCATGACCTCCACAAGGTCATACATCATGGTGCTTTTCATGACCTCTACAAGGTCATACATCCTGGTTCTTTGCATGAAACAGAACATTTTGAGGATGCAAATTCATTATCAATGAAATATGAAAACTATTATGAATATAGTTGTTCAACCAGTCAGGGGATCTGCCATCTCTGATGGATTTCTACTTTATTTCTTTTAGTCGTCCAGAGCTATTAAAAGGCATATATGGTATGGGATTCAATTGGCCGTCAAAGATTCAAGAAACTGCACTGCCCATGTTATTAGCAGATCCGTAAGTATTCTATCTATATAAAATAAGAAATGGACCTTTCAGCCATCGATCGATTCAATTTATGGACAAAGTTTTGTTCTTCATTAGGGACTACGGGTTCATCTACCCACTAATGTGCATATTTGCCAGTTGAGCGGAGTTGATGTGTCAATCTTCTTATTTCATTGTCGCTGTTCACCTGCTGAGTTGTTATGGTGCCCCAATTCGGCTCATGCATTTGCTATGATTCAACTTTGTGTACATCATTAATGCAACAGAAAATCATACGTTGATATAATGATCTTCAGAAACATCTTACTACTGTAAAACATGTCTTTTTCGCAAGCATGTCTTTTTAGCAAATTTAGCGAGAGAACTGTTTCGCTAATAGACCATTTTCCATACACTGCGAGAATCACGCGTTATGCGTGAAATCGAACGTAAAAACAGGACAAACAAAGGTCGTAGTGGCGTCAAACATCGCGTGGGATTCGACAACCCCAAAGGATTTTGGGGACATTTCCATGCTTAATAATGTGCTGTCCACATTTGATGATAGGCAATTTCGATTAAGTAAGGGTATTCGGAAGCAATATTCCTCTGTCGAAGATCGGCCGGTCGGTGTGAGCTACGAAATAAGGAAATTCGAGTTCAAAATCAAATCGTTCGATTTTTGCAGCAGACGTTCGACGCGCGTTTTTCATACATCTCGCGAGATCTCGCAATTGTACGGAAAATCACCTATTCAAGCTGTCGCTAATGACTTTATTATAATTTCTAAATGGCTACCAAACAACGTCTTTTTTTCCACACAAACAGAATAAACGTATTCATTGTGGTCATTATTTCAATGAAAATAAATAAATGAAGTGATAATGATAGTCCAAATATAAAAGGACAATGTTCTGGATGTAACGCAGCAACGATACCCGCTTTTTCAAATCCCTGTTGAATCAGTTTTTTATCATTGCGTACAGAATCAAATTACACTTGACAGTTTTACTTTGTTTTCATGGAGGTGATAACTGCACATTTGTTTTGGCGCGACAGACAAGTATTGTGAAAACAGGAAATCGACAATGACAGGAGAAATATTCGCTAAATCAACATTTCGCTATTACGTCATTTTGCCACAATGCGCTAAAATTGCATGTCGCTTTTTCGACATGTTTTACAGTATATAGTTACAGAATTTGAAATTTGTTAAAATGAAAATCGGCAACATTTTAGTATCACCTACAGTCACATACAAAGTCATAAGAAAATATACATTGGTATCATTTTACTATATAGTTACAGAATTTGAAATTTGTTAAAATGAAAATCGGCAACATTTTAGTATCACCTACAGTCACATACAAAGTCATGAGAAAATATACATTGGTATCATTTTACTATATAGCACCCACTGATGGTGCAGTTGTGTAATAAAGTTATTATTATTATTATTATTATATAGTTACAGAATTTGAAATTTGTTAAAACGAAAATCAGCGGCAATAAAATTTTCGAACAAAATCATATTCTCCTGTGACTACTATACACCCATATTTCTACAACAATGCCTAATATGTGAACTTGTTTCAAGACAAAAATAATTAGTGGGTGTGTACAGTTTGTGACTTAGAAATCGGAATGTAATATGTAAAGATATGTAGATTTATGCAAATGAGAACACTATCGTATACATTCTACATGTATATGCTTGTAAATAATTGTGTTCATCTGAGGTTTAAAAATTGTTTTTATTGCTTTTTCTATCAGGCCAAAAAATATGATTGCCCAGTCTCAGAGTGGTACGGGTAAAACAGCAGCATTTGTACTAGCTATGTTGAGTAGAGTGGATCCTACGTTGAGATATCCTCAGGTAAGGACAAAACTGCTGCATTTGTGCTGGCTATGTTGAGTAGAGTGGATCCTACG